GTCCGCGTGGCACTCTATGGTCATTGTGACTTCGCACATTCCAGCTTTTCACTTATGATAAGTGGCTCGCTCACCCACCCCGGAGTCCCTCTCCCCTTGAAAAGCTTGTTTCCTGGCTTGACATAGTTTCTTGCACGTATTGATTCCTCAGTCGCTGTAATCTATCTGTCTGGGTTTCTTGGTGGAGGCGCTGTCCTCTGTCGATCTGCGTTTCTTGGTTCCACAACCGGAGCACAAAAGTTCAAGATGTCACGTGACCGACTCAGCAGTTTTCACGGACAGTTTTGCTCAAACTGCCTGCGGAAACGCTGGCATCGCTAAATCGATATCCATACTTTCCCAGTCGCTGGTGTACTTTGACATACGCTGACGTCCGCATGAGATATATCCATACTTTCCTATTTGCTGGCGCTGACGTACACTAAGGCTGCTGTACGCTGATGCAAAGCATGAACGCAGCCTAATAGTGACTAACCTCAAGTATAACATCCCAGTTGCTTTCACCACTTTTGATTTTTTCGACAGCAGCGTGGATTGAATCGACCTGGTAGCAGAGGATTAAAGGTAATTTGCTGCTATCAAATACATCCACTCTGAGTCGAATTACCAAAGTTCGATCTCCAGGCTTGGCTCCGCCATATTTTTGTACGGCTTCAGATGCTCGTGTAAGTGCATCGGCAAATTCCTTAGACGTTATTGAAGTTGCGAAGGATTCAGAAGCAGTGCTAAGCATCAGAGCGTAGAGCTGTAATTATCAACTTACAGTCTGATACATGTTAGAAATCGTACCTTAATTACTTCTGTGTACGGTAAAGCCTCACCGCTCCACCCGTGCCTCCTACTTCTTGTTCGAAGACTTCGGAGAGATCGTGTAGAAGTTGTTGGGCACTCTTCACTTCTGCATTCTTCATCCGTTCATCAATCGCTGGAATAATGCTAGAACTTCGTGTGGAGATACTCCTGTTGTACCCTCCTTATCCTGCGGATGAGGGAGGTGTGGCTGCGTTTTCGCTTGAATGTATCTGCAGCTGTGCTTCTAATGGGATGCTGCCCTTTTGGGACTATCCGTTGTTCACTGGACCGTATATCAGTTTTCCCAATAGGAAATCTCCCAGGAAAAGCGCGAAAAGGGCATCTGAAGTCTTGTTCGAATGAATTATGCAGCCGCGCCCTCCCTATCTTTGGGATATGAAGTGTCCCGGCTCGCGAACGCCTCTTTTACGCGCTCATCGCGACGTCTGTTCAAGTGTAAATGTTTACCTTTTGCGGCGTGGACGAAAGTCGAACCACAATCTCCGTCACCAGCTGCGCCATCAAGTCCGTTCAACTCAGCTTCAACTTCTTTCATTTTGTTGCATACCGCACTTATACATTTTTTGGCAAGCTCTGTTTGTTCTGAAAACAGCATTTCGTTTCTACTTCGGCCGCTTAAAGCAGGGCGCTGTGTGAGAAGCGATTGTGAGTCTGGATAGAAGAGGATCCTGTTCAGTTCCAGAAAGCAACCTGTTTCTAGGTAGACAACTCTGTTTGAGGGTTTTAGAACAAGTCTTCAGTAAAATCGTTGTCTTCAATATCCTCTTTCTCTGTACCATAAGCAGGGCACGTCATAGCGTTGGGGGGAATTCTTGCTAACTATCATTTTGCCGACCGATCACCCAACGAAACGTTACCCAGAAATATGCCGTCGAGTTGGGCGAGGAAGAGGGGAAACACCTGCGATTGACCATCAGAAATAGTAGCTTA